GGGGCCCGGCGGTGGACCTGCAAGGCCAGCGGGAGTGCGAGGAAGCCCCGCCAAGGCCCTCCCTGGCCCCAGGCAGGCAGGGGTGGGGAGAGGCGGGGAGAAAGCAACTTACCCTCCCTCTTCTCCTGCCTCCTCCTGGCTGAATGAGGGCCGGAAGCGGGGCGGTTGGAAGCAGGGGGCGGGGCTTTGTCATGTGCCCCGCCCCCCACACCTCACCCGGGGGAACGGCGATCCCCTGCGATCCCCCCAATCGACCTCTGGTAGTATTGGATGCACTCCATTCAGAGTGGCCACCTGTTCACATCACTATCCCACCAATTGTTGTTGTTCATCCTCACTGTCGAGTCTGACTCTTCGCGATCCCACCTAACCCCTATCCAATACCAAAACTTTCTGCTTCTGGCTCACAGTCTCCATACTACACCTAACATTGATAAACCTATACTTAGAATATACCAGTGAGCCAGATATCTACACAAATGGCTGTCAAGTACAAAAAATAACTTCCTCTAAAAACAATTCACATGCAATTTACAGTGATTAGAGCTTGCATGCACATTGAGATTGAGAAATGTATTTCTATACACAACCATAATGATTAATGAGAACTGGAAGCTGGGGAGTCATTTTAAAGAAAGAGACAATTATCATTATGACTAGGGAGTCTATACAAGCAAATGCACTTCACTGTATGCTGCCTTGATTTCTCAATTAGATTGCCATTTTGCTCCTCCTAACAATTTCTTCAGGCCTTTTTTAGTGTACAAGATGCTTTTTAATTCTCATCCTGCAGTTATAGATCTGCAGGCTGAATTCACATATAATACAGGGTTTTAAGAAGTGTTTAACATTTCTGGTTAAATTTAGCTCCAAGTGAATCAACAGCTACCTGACTTAACAGCATGCATGGTAGCTTATATCTTCAAAGTGGCCACTTTTACAAGTTAATACCTTTGGCATGAACTATATGGATGTTACCACCTCATCATGCAACTGATAGTAAGAAAATGATGCCAAGGATGCTGAGATTGGTGTACTAAAAATAAATTGTAATATGTCTAACACAGATCTTGATGCAGCAAGATCTGTGGAAGTATTCAAAAGATTAAACAAATAAACCAACATTTATTTAACAAACAATACAGTAATGCACAATAAAGAGACACAGGACAATATAATGCAGTGCTGAGTTTGGATATGGAAATTTAGGCTCAGGAGAACACTGGAATTTCATGCTACTTTGCACAGTCATAAGTATTCACCTCCTAATTGTCATGTCCTAATTGTTGTGTCCTCTCAGAATAGAGGTGAATGATTATGACAATGCAGAAACAGCACAATATCCAGAGATATGTAGATCTAGCCTCAAATTTTTCAGTGATCATGAAGCCTGGGCAACTCATTTTCTTTCAGCCAAATCTGTAGTGTGGATAAAATGCTGTGCTAAACTTCTTAGTGGTAAGGGTGAGACATAAATGTAATAAATATTAATAGTAATTAAAATGCAATAATAATAATACAATACTTAAAGAATAACAAGATGGTAATTTTAACTAATAGTTATTGTTCCATAATTTTGTATATGCATATGTTTACTGAATATTACTGCTAAATCAAAAGGCAGCCTTATTTCATGTCCGCTTTCATAGCCATAAAATTATCCTATCTCTTTTCCAGCAATGATGAGAGCTGCAAACGGAGCCACTCTGAATTAGCTTTATGACATTACTAGGAATAAGGCCTGTTGTGGAAATAAATACAACAAGCTCTAGAAAGAGGCTCTGGGAGAGTGCCCCGGCCTTGGGCACTCAGTGTCAATTGCTGTGGTGACCTCAGCAGGGTATAATGACAGAGAGTCCACCATTTTCTCCAGAGGAACTGATCTCTGCTACCTGAAGAGCAGTTGTAATTTTGAGTGATCTCCAGCCCTCACCTGGAGATTGGCAAAAATTGTTAACCAGGAGGAAATGGCTGTTTTTGAGGGTGGAATCTATGGCATTCTACCTGTCTGAGGTCAAACCCCTCCTCAAACCCCACCCTCTCCAGGCTCCACCCCTCAAATCCCCAGGAATTCCCCAACCTGGAGTTGGTAACCCCATCTCCTTCCCAGCTAACCATCAACCTACAGTTATCTGCCTCTCTGACTTCAGCTGACTTCTGTCCTCCCTCCTGGAGAGCAGTTGTAATCTGAGTGATCTCCAGCCCTCACCTGGAGATTGGCAAAAATGGTTAACCAGGAGGAAATGGCTGGTTTTGAGAGTGGAATCTATGGCATTCTACCTGCCTGAGGTCCAACCCCTCCTCAAACCCCACCCTCTCCAGGCTCCACCCCTCAAAGCCCCAGGAATTCCCCAACCTGGAGTTGGTAACCCCATCTCCTTCCCAGCTAATCATCAACCTACTGTTATCTGCCTCTCTGACTTCAGCTGACTTCTGCCCTCCCTCCTGGAGAGCAGTTGTAATTCTGAGTGATCTCCAGCCCTCACCTGGAGATTGGCAACAATTGTTACCCAGGAGGAAATTGCTGGTTTGGAGGGTGGAGTCTATGGCATTGCACCTGTCTGAGGTCCCACCCCTTCTCAAACACCACCCTCTCCAGGCTCCACCCCTCAAGTCTCCATGAATTTCCCAACCTGGAGATGGCAACCCTATCTCCTTCCCAGCCAACCATCAACCTACCTTTATTTGCCCCTCTGATGTCAGCTTTCCATCTCCTCCCCCTCCCTCCTGGAGAGCAGTTGTAATTCTGAGTGAGCTCCAGCCCTCACCTAAATATTGGCAACAATGGTTCCCCAGGAGTAAATAGCTGGTTTGGAGGGTGGAGTCTATGGCATTGTACCTCTGAGGTCCCACCCCTCCTCAAACCTCACTCTCTCAAGGCTGCATTTCTCAAATCGCCAGGAATTTCTCACCTGGAGTTGGCAACCCTATCTCCTTCCCAACCAAGCATCAACCCACCTTTATTTCCCCCTGACTGCTACATCACATTGGCTGTCATAGGGGGGCCATCTCAGCAGAGTATAAGGACACAGAGTCCACCATTTTCTCCAGGGGAACTGATCTCTGTCATCTGGAGAACAGTTGTAATTCTGAGTGATCTCCAGCCCTCACCTGGAGATTGGTAACAATGGTTCCCCAAGAGGAAATGAAATATTTGTATTCATTTACCGTGAAGCTTCCTTCTTGGATGTCCAGAGTGGGGCAGTCCTTGACTCCTTACTCCTCAGAAAGCACCTCCTCTTCCATAAGCAGGGCCACCAATCTTTGATCCCAAAGGGGAGGGGCTTATCCTCTGACTCCCCAGTCATACCAAAAGCCAAACCTTCCACATACTTCTGTGAATAAAAACTTTGACCAAACATCTCCCCCTCCCCCGGGAACCAGGGGAGACCACCACCATCGTAACATTAAACAGCAAAACCTTATTCATCACTCAGTATGGCACAACAACAACACTCAACAGCATTCACAACGAAACAGGAACCAGACATAATCAGAGCCCAGTTCCATAACATTCCCTCGGTCCTGTGAAGATCGGAAGTCGTGTCCTCAAGCAAAGGGGGTAGGACTGCCCCACTCTGGACCACCGAGAAGTAAGCTTCACTGTAAGTGAATACAAATCTTCCATTCTCCGGTGGTCCAGGAGTAGGGCAGTCCTTGACTCCTTACTCCTGGGACGTAAGAAAAGCAGTGCCTTCCTGGGTGGGTCAGATAACTTGCGGTACTTACAGGGCCTGTTGCAGAACTCTCCTACCAAACGCCGCCTCTGAGGAAGCCAGCTTGTCAAGCCAGCTTGTTTTGTAAAAGAGTGGACAGACTTCCAGGTAGCTGCCCTACAAATGACTTCTAGGGACGGGAAGGCCCGATAGGCCGCCAACATGGCCGCCCCCCTGAGAGAATGAGCCATGACCCCCTCTGGTGGAGCTAACCCCTGCAACCTATAAGCCTGAACGATACATCCTCTTATCCACCTGCTCAAGGTGGACATAGAAACTCCCTTCCCCATGGACAACTGTCAGGCGACAAACAAGGATTCAGTTTTCCTCCACCCCTTGGTGCTCTCCGGATAGAAATTCAATGCCCTACGCACGTCAATGCAGTGCCAGACCTTCTCCTTCTCGTGAGTAAGGTTTGGGCAGAAGGAAGGAAGTACAATGTCCTCTGACCTATGGAAACATGAGTTAACTTTAGGTATGAACGCTGGATCTGGGCGAAGAACAACCCTATCATGAAAGGTACACAGGTCCCTATGAACAGACAGAACCCTGAGCTCTTAAACCCTACGTGCTGAGGTGATCCCCACTAGGAAGACCGTCTTCAGTGTGAGTTCTTTCAAGGGACATGATGACATTGGCTCAAAGGGCTCCTGGCACAGTGCGTGAAGCACTGTATTCAATTTCCAAGTCAGAAATCTATGTGTCTGTGGTGGGTTAAGCAAGGAGGCATCCCTCAGGAAGTGCCGTATGTGTGGGTGGCATGAGAATGATTTACTTTTTCTGGCGCCTCTCACCGCAGAAAGGGCCACCACCTGCTTCTTTAGTGTGCTACTGCTCAAACCTTTTGACAGACCCTGTTGCAGAAAGGCTAGGACCTCCCCCACCTGCACTTTCATCAGGTCTAGCCCCCTATCCCCACACCAGATGGAAAATGTTTGCCATGTCCTGTTATAGATCTTGTTTGTAGAGAGCTTTCTATTTTTTTATTTTTTTATATATTTATACCCCGCCCTCCCCGTAAGCAGGCTCAGCGGGTTCTAGAAGCTAACAAGGTGGAGACCCCTTCCGTCTCGTAGCTTCTGTCTCCTCTCAACCTCCACGCTGTTAGTTGTAGCATGTCTGTTCGCGGGTGGACGGTCATCCCCTGGGATAAGAGGTCCCGTTTGAGCGGAAGATGCCAATGGTCCCTTATGGAAAGCCTCACTGGTCCTGGAACCACGCCCTTCTCGGTCAGAAGGGCGCTATCAAAATCAAGTCCGCTTTTTGCTCTATTACACACTGTACCATTCAAGGAATGAGTGGCAGGGGAGGGAAGGCATAGAGTTCTTGGCCACCTTAGGTTTAGGGCATCTGTCCCCAGTGCCCCCTCTGCTCGTGTTTTGGACACAAATTTTCTGACTTGTCAATTCTGCCTTGACGCGAAGAGATCCACCTCTGCATTTCCGAACCTGTCGCTGATCTGTTGAAACACATCCCTGTGTAGCATCCACTCGGTTTGATCTATTGTCTGTCTGCTCAACCAGTCCGCTAGTATGTTCTCTCTTCCTGCTACATGGATAGCCTTTAGAGATAGTATGTGTGTCTCTGCCCATCGCATCACCTGTACCGCCTCCTGGTGCAGACGCCTGAATCGTGTGCCTCCCTGTCTGCTGATATAAGCTTTCGCCATCATATTGTCCGTCTGTACCAGAACATGACGGCTTGACAGCTGACTCTGGAACCGAACTAGCACCAGTTTTATGACTCTGAGCTCCAAAAGGTTGATACTCCTGGTCATCTCTATCTCCAACTGAGTCCCTTGTACCATGCTCCCCATGGAATGCGCTCACCAACCGAAGAGACTCCCATCTGTCATTAATACTGTCCTTTGGGGCTCCCCGAGTGGCATCCCCTCGGAGAATTGCATCGGGGCAAGCCACCACAGTTCTTGGCTCACGGTCCGTGCAAGTTCCACCTCCTTGACCATCTTGTGGGCTATTTCCTTCTGGTAGTGAAGGAGAAATCTCTGTAGGGGTCATGTATGGAATCTGGCCCAAGGTAGCAGGTCTTGGCACGACACCATCATCCCCAGTAGACAGGCTAGGATCATCACCGCCTAGCATTGCGTTTTCAAGACTTGATGTCACAAAACCGTCGTCCTGCAGCACCTGAATTGTCAAGTCCAGATGTTGATGCGCCTGAAGGTACGAGTCTGCCTTGATTAGAATGTTGTCCAAGAAGGAAAATAATGATACACCTTTCATCCTCAGGAAGGCCACTATGGATACCAGTACCTTGGTGAATACCCTTGGTGACGTCCTCAGACCAAACGGTACAGCTCGGTGTTTTCCATGGTACACAAACCAGAGAAAGTATCGGTGATTTACTCTTATTGGTATGTCTAGGAGCGCTTCAGCCAGGTCTATGGAGACCATGAAATCTCCTGCCTATAGAGAGGATAGGATGGACCGCAGTGTTTCCATCTTGAACTTTCTTGCCCTGACGTGTTTGTTGAGCCACTTCAAGTCCAGTATGACTCTGGTGTCCCCATTCTTTTTGGGAACCGTAAAGAAGACAGAGTATACTCCGTGCAACTTCTCTCTCTCTGGTACCTTCTCTATCACTTCGATATCCAACAAATGTTGTATGGCCTGCGTCATTATCCTGTGTTTTTCTGATTTCTTCTTTGGCATTTCCAATAATTGCTGGGGTGGGGATTTTTGAAACTCCAATGAGTAAATGTGGGTCACTGTCTCCAGTACCCATCTGTCTGTCACAGTCTGTTGCCACTGCCTGGAGAAAAGTTGTAGTCACGGTATAGTCATGCTGATGGTCCTTTCTTGAGACCTTTGGCTCCTTGTCCTGCTTTTCCTTTGAAGGAGCGTGTTCTGGCATTTCTGGGCTTGTTCTGCCATCTGCCCTTATATGTTCTATTAACATGTTATCATCACATCTGGAATCTCAAAAGGAGTGGAATCTCCTATTCTTCACGTCCTTCCTCTTTGAAGGAAGCACCCGTTTCTTGTCTTTATCCTCAATCAGATAGTGATTGAGATCTGCACCAAAAAGATTTATACCTTTAAACGGTACTGCTGCAACCTTAGCCCATGCCGCTGGGTCAGCGTTCCACCCTTCTCTCACCCCCCCCTTTCGCCTTGTAATTCCTACTGTGATTCAGTCACCTAGGTAGACTGCTCTGGAGCCACTCGCTTCCTCACTTGTCCTGCAAGTAAGAAGAGTCCCGCTCCAGTGCTTCTTTCAGTCATTTGCGGTCTCTCTGTTTTAACTCCTGGTCTTCTCTGTCTTCCGGGATCTTCATGCTCCTGCAAGTAAGAAGAGTCCCGCTCCAGTGCTGAACGGGATGGCAACGGAGTTCCCGCACCTCCCTCAGCTGCCGCCGGAGTCCTCCGCTCTCCCCAGGCTCTCCGTTGAGCCGATCGAGGCCCTCCGTCTACAGGGAGAGGGGGATGGCTTGTAGCTGTGTGTCCCAGCGGGGTCCAGAGGTGTTCCTTTCGGCACTGCAACCACCTGGGGGCCTCCCAGGGCTGCTGGCGCTGAAATCGTAGTTCCCAAAGCCCGCAGCTCTCGGGTAAGAAAGGGGTAATTACCTTCCCCCGCTCCTTCTTTCAGTCGTTTGCGGTCTCTCTGTTTTGACTCCTGGTCTTCTCTGTCTTTCAGGATCTTCATGCTCTTCGGAGCACAGCCAGCACATCCTGCTCGGAAGGCAGGGCCGGTAAGACTGGGGAGTCAGAGAATAAGACCCTCCCCTTCGGGATCAAAGATTTCCAGCACTGCCTACAGAAGAGGAGGTGCTTTCCCAGGAGTAAAGAGTCAAGGACTGCCCCACTCCTGGACCACCAGAGAAAGTAGTCTTTCTTTGCAATGGGGACCAAAGCAGCCTGCATCATTCTCCTCTCCCACTTTTGACTTGCACAACAACCCTGTGAGGTAAGTTAGGCTGAAAGTCTGTGACTGGTCCAAAAGTCTGTGATTGGTACACAGCAAGAACCTGGGTCTAGCAGACACTGCTCTGAAATGCTGGCTGCTATGCCTATGGTAGCCAACCTCCAGGTGGAGCCTGAAGATCGCCAGGTATCACAACTGAACTCCAGACAACAGAAAATAACTGCTTTGGAAGGTGGCCTCTATGGCATTCTGTTCAGCTGAGACCTCTCCCCTCCCCACACCTTGGCTTCTGTAGACTCTACCATGAAATCTCCAGGAATTTCCCTACCTGGAGCTGGCAACCCTAGTAAGGATGGGCCCCAATGAGTTCTTCACAAAGGCCTGGAAAGGGTTTCTTTCTACTAGCAGCCACTGAGGGAAAAGTTAGTCCTACAGAGGAGCCAAGCAGGAGAAGTGTCTTCGTCGGGAGACACAGCCGTTTGCCAGTAATTCTGACAGGGAACAGTGGCTGAAGGGGGAATGAGCAGGGAAGAGGAGCAGAAGCTGTGTTCACTGAAGCAAAGCAACCTTCTTCTGAGGAAAGTTTTGGTGGGCACCGCTTCTGTGGGCGGGACTCAGGCAATGCAGCCAGTGGATAGGGACAGCTTCTGAGTGACACATCATGGAGCCAACTGAATTAGGAGCATGTGAAATGTTCAGAAAGTGCCACCCCACTGCTCAATTATATATAAGGAGAGAACCATTATAATGATGTGGTATTGTGGATCACAATGCAATTCCCAGATGGCTGCGGATATCAGGACAAACAGGACAAAAAGTGGCTATGAAACAAGAAGTTATAGAAACAAGCAGCCACACTCAATTGGGAAAAGGCTAACAAGAAAGTGAGTACGGGTGTACCATTTCATATAATAAATGTACCCTTTCATATAAAAATGTTTTCCTCCTACCCTTCTGAACAGTCCTGCACTAACTAGTCTCTGTAACAATAGTGTAGTACCTAATGGGAAAATATTATTGATACAGATTTTGTTTTTCTTTCTCTTTATTCTATTCCGTGCCAATGATGAACACCTAAATCTTTAATTCACCACATATCCATCTAATTGTACCAGATAATCTATTGCAAACTGACATCCCAGCTGTAGTTTCTATGGGTAAATTCATATTAACAATTTTGTCAAGGAACCATTACATGATATGCAGGGCTTTTTCTTTTTGGAAAAAATGGTGCCCGAATTCTCAAAAGGGAAATGAAGTTTTTAATCTGTATACTGAAAACTCATGAACTTTTAAACGTTCCGGAGTGTTCCCTCAGAAAAAAAAAGCCCTTAATATTTCATATGTTACCATCACTGTTCATTAGTTGAGGTACGTAAGGCTAAAAGAAACTGTTCTACAGTGATCTAGCTTTATGGTAGAGTGGGGATTTGAATCTGGGTCTCTCAGATCTTAGTTTGCTACTCTGCCCACTACACCACACTGGCTCTACTAGAGACGAGTATTCTAAGGAAGCGTTGTATCTACATAAGAAACAAAACTCAAAATGAGACCATGGCTGTTTCAAGGTATTCGGGTGCCTGGTTGAAATGTGGTATTGTAGGAGAGTTTTACAAATATCATGGAACATCAAAAAGACAAATGTGGGTTCTAGAGCAAATCAAGCCTGAACTCTTCTTAGAAGCTAAAATGACCAAACTGAGGTTATTGTACTTTGGTCACATAATGAGAAGACAAAACTCACTGGAAAAGATAATAATGCTAGGAAAAGTTGAAGACTGCAGGGGGAAAAAGACCCAACATGAGATAGATTGACTCAGTAAAGGAAGCCACAGCCCTCAGTTTGCAAGATCTGAGCAAGGCTGTTAACAATAGGATGTTTTGGAGGTCATTAACTCATAGGGTCACCATAAGTCAGAAGCAACTTGGCAGCTTGGCAGCAACTTAACACACACACAATTGCTGGAGCTTGCCTCTGATGCAGCTGGTGGTGGGAGTTCAAGTAAAGTAAAGTCAAGTCAGCCTTTATTGGCATATATAAGTAGAACAAAGTATACAAGTAGGGCACTGTATTACAAATACATTGAATAAAATAATAGGTTACAACTGTACTTTCCCTTGGTGTAGCAGCATGGTGGACTGAGGGAACTTATCCACTTTTTCAGTTACCTCAACAGAGAACTCATTCAAAAGTTTGTAAACTTTATGGGAATCTGAAAAACCCATCATGTTGACCAATATAGAGTTTAGCTATTTAGAGCATATATTTACATAAAAGTGACATCGCAACAAAACATGTAAGACCGTCTCAACACATCCAGATCCGAAAGGGCAATGTCTAGCCACATATGCTGTCTTATTGAATCTGCCATATAGAATGACAGATGGCATGGCATTGCATCTGGCTAAAGAGAAAGCTCTGCGTAGTTGTGGCACTTGTAGGGAGGATAAATATGAAGCCATCCTACCTACAGTGAGGGGAATCACAAAGCTCAGAGGAGAGCAGGTTTTGTTGGCGAGACTATGTAACTCCTGACGCTCAATATACAACATCCTCTGTTTGATCAACTGGAATGCACCCGCTGATGGAAGCATAGTCAGTGAATCCAAAAATATACCCATAGCCTTAATTTTTTTGCTCAATATATGTTAGCCAGTTTGACATGTTAGACTCTGAGAGCACCCTGGGTCAGAATTATAATGTAGACGTAGCCAATATTTAAGTGTCATAAGCCATGCTCTGGTTTCGACTAGATTCAGACCTGCTTGTAAGCAAAGAACTCATATGGGACACACTTTGGCAAGCCCAATACTTTATGTAGGAATTTGGATTGGACACAATCGGTGGCACTGTCAAGAGCTCTGATCCATATCGGGATGCCATACAATAGTTGCGAGATCACTTTAGCATTAAAGATTTTTAAAGCAGCTGGTACAAATTGGTTACCTCTACTGTAGAAAAATCATGTTATAGCTGAAGCATTGATATTAGCAGTATTTATTGCATGTTTGCGTTGGATAAACCAAGACACATTGTATTGAAAATAGAGGCCAAGGTATCTGAAGTGCTTAACTTGTTCTATTTCTTTTCTGCCAATTATCCATGTAAATGGTTTCGAAGTTTTAGAGAAGACTAGGATTTTTGATTTCCCATGATTCAGCTGTAACTTGTTAGTTGTAAAGAACTCAAGGCAACAGGTCAGTAAGCGTTTTAAGCCAACTCTGAAATGAGACAACAATACCGTATGGTCAGCATACAGAAGTAGGGGTACATGTAGAGCCAAATTTGGGGCTATGATAATCAACTCTTGACAAGTGAGGGGCAAGGTCACTGAGAAAAAGATTAAATAAAAAGGGAGCTAGAATGCAACCCTGTTTGACTCCCATATTAGTAGGGATTTTCGGGGTTAATTTGCCTGCTAATGAGCATTTAATTTGGCAAGTGTTGGAGGTATATAGCTTCTTGATAAGCATAAGAAGTCTTTTGTCCATATTTAGTTGATTTAATTTAATTTAAACCAAAGAAGTTTCCTATCAATTGAGTCAAAAGCTCCCTTCAGATCTAGGAAAGCCACAAATAATTATGAGTTATTTTGAATAACATACTTATTGATCAAATGATATAGAATAGTACCATGATCTAAGGTGGTTTTCCCTTTGCAAAAGCCTAACTGTTCTGGACCCAAAACTTTTTGCTGCGACATCCAGAGAGTAAGTTTGGCTAATAAATGTTTAGTATACAACTTGCCCATTGTAGAAAGCTCTTAAAGCTCTTGATGTCAATCAAGACAATACCCTTCCACCTACTTTTTCCTATCCAAGACATTCTAAAGACAGCTTTTTAAACCCAGCAGTTATATGTCTTGCCAGATTCTGCATGCAGTTTAACAGATTCTGGCTAAATGGTCTGATTGGCTTCCCAAACTCTGGAGAATTTACTTTTGTCTCCCCGAGGGGCTGTAGTGTAATCGATTATGTTTTAATTTCTCCCTCATTGAAACCGCATGTCAAAGATTTTACAAAAGATTATTTTA